GAGAGAGAGAGAGAGAGAGAGAGAGAGAGAGAGAGAGAGAGAGAGAGAGAGAGAGAGAGAGAGCACATTTAAAGAGCTGTTACTGGCTAATAATTATTCAAGAGAAGAGGCAGGATGGTCACTGGAAAGAACCTTGGATTTAGAGTCAAAGCACTTCAGTTCAAATCCCCACCACAAGCTACTTGTGTGACATTGGAGTAAGTCACTTAACTTCTGCAGACCTCAGTTTCCTCATCTGTAAAATGTTGGACGGATGGCCCAAGAGGTCCCTTCTAGCTCTACATCTCCAACTGCAGGAAGGGATCTTGGTATAGAATGTTAAGGATAATGAGGATTTTCCATCCCTTAGGCTGTTCGTCTATAAATAGAGGTATTTAATTTACTGGGGAAGACTATGGAAATACCTTGATTTGCATCTGGAGAGTGTGCAGAGATTTGGAGGCCTCTGATGTCTGTCGGTTAGCATGGTTGAGCTGTACCTCTATCTCATTGAGGTCCCCTTCCATCTTCTTCTTTAGCCGAGACGCTTCAGCTTGGCTCTTGGCTTCCAAATCCAAAGTTGACTGCAGAGAATCAATGGTGCGCTGCTGGTCTCTCCTAGTTTTCAGATGACAGACAGAAAACAAATGTGTGTGTGTGTGTGTGTATGTGTTTGATTAAGAAGGATTACCTGGTGAGTTTACAGTGATTTAGGCAACAAGAAGAATTTGGGGTCCCTATTTTCTGAGCTAACAAAATTGGGTCAGAAATCTTTTTGCTTAAAAAAAAAAACCCTTGAGGGGCAGCTAGGTGGTGCAGTGGATAGAGCACCAGCCCTAAAGTCAGAAGGACCTGAGTTCAAATTTGACCTCAGACCAAACACTTGACACTTACTAGCTGTATGACCCTGGGTAAGTCACTTAACCCCAATTGCCCAAAAAAACCCCAAAAAACAAAAAAACAAAACCATGAGATTGACATATTAGGCCAGTATGTGTATATACATCACTGGTTTATTCAACCAGCATTTAATGGACTTTATTGTAGCGGGGAAAGTGATGGCCTTTGAACAAGAAGGCTTAGATTAGAATCCTGGTCCTGTCATTTGACTGGTTGTGAAACTTTGGCCAAGTCACTTAACTTCTGTGGACATCAGCTCTCTCCTATGTAAATGAAGGTATTGAACTCTAAGGTCTATCCCAGTTCTGACCATTCTATGAATCTCTCCCAGCCCCAAACACAGGATGTTTAAAGATAAATAAGTCATGGCCTCTGCTCTTAAGGAGCTGACAATCAAGTCTTAAATAAAAATTTAATTTCCCATGACAATATACTGGAACATTTAAAGCATAAAAGGCAATTTTCTCTGCCCACAATAGGTGCTTAATATTTGTTGAATTGAATTAAGTTGAATACAATTCCTTCTATACATCTTAGTTTTAGCCTCCTAGGCTAAGAGGCCTAGGGCAAACAATCACTCCAATTCCTTGTACCTGGGGTCAGCTATGCACAGAGACATCCTTTCATACATTCAAAGCTGCTTCCCTGTCTAGAAATCTGCCCACAATCCATGATGAAGAGATACCCCAGCATCTCTTTAGAGTATGCCCTTGGCAGCCATGAAGTTATGAGCTGAAGACAATGAAGTAACTTGTAAAAAAAAAAAAATTGAACTATTTTGTAGGAAAAAAAGAGTATTGTACATGGGATAGTACGTTACAAACTCAAGACAACTCATAGACAAAAAGGTTAACTCCTACATCTGTCGCCCTTCTCTGCAAAAAGTTGATATGGACCATCCACTCAGTCATCACCAATATGTTCTCTCCCTTGAAATGTCATCCAAGAAGAGCTCTGGACTGCATGTTTGTCTTGGAATGTTCTCTGAGGGCTCTGTCAATGATTAGACAACAGAATAAAACCTCCAGAATCCATTCAAATGGCAGGGGAAAAGAGAATGGAGAAGAAATTGTTCAAACTTTTCTTTCTTTGTGAAACAGAACAGATGGTACATTATAGCCATTGAAATATGAGCTACTTAAGGGAAGTTCTTGTGTTCTTGCCTTTCTTTGTGTGTCCCTAGGATTGTATCTCCAGTGCCTGGTACATATTAAGAGCTTAATAAATGCTTATTGACTGACTAACTATATTAAAGTAGGAGAAGAAAGAACACAACAAAGGATTAGTGGAGAAATCTAAAATCAGAGACGGTCTTAGGAAATTCCAATATATGGTCCAAAAAGTAGGTGGTCAGTCATGCACAAGTATCAACAACTAGGTAGGTAGCCTGAGTAATACAATGGGAACTCCAAGAGGTGAAAAGACCAGAGGAAGCCTTCTAGTATGTTGAATAGAGCCTTTATGGAACATCTATGGGGAAACATTGACAGAAATTGTACAGGAGGAGAAGGCATGGAGGGAGCACTTGTGAATGGGTGGAGGGAGTTATCTACATGAATGAAATTGCCAATCCATAAGAGTATCATATCTGGGAGGCTGCAGGGTTTCTTTGCAGCCACACAGTCCATGCAGCAATTTCATTTGCAAAGGATGAAAGCATTCTGTTAGCTGCCCAGCAGTAAAGCCATGGAGGTGCAAGCTCTCCACTGTGCACTGCTCATTAGCAAGTTCTATGAATGGGACAGAGCTTAAGAAGGGCAAAAGGAGCCTTCATTTTCCTCTCAAACAGTTCAGCAACATAAACAGAAAAAAAAGTATCAGGTGCTGTGTCAGAAAAAAAAGAACACTAGGAATTTGAATTAGGACTGCTTCATTGTGTTTAATAAAGTAAGCCCATTAAGAACAAAGGCCTCTTTCATAAACACAGGAGGAACTGAGGGATGGAGAGTGAGTGATATAGCTTATCCCTCCATGTATCCGAGTAGTGATAGAATCGAGGGCAAATGAGATGGAGGGCCCACTGTCTCTGACTATAGGCAATGAGGTATCGTGAAGAGGGTTTGTACTCAGGAAGAGCTGAGTTCAAATCTCACATCAGACATTTCTTTGTGTAACCTTAGACAAGATACTAAACCTCTCTGAGCCTCAGTTTCCTCATCTGTAAAATGAAGGGGCAATGATAGAATCTACCTCACAGGGTTGTTGCAGAGACTAAAAAGTACTTTATAAACCTTACATAGACACTTCAACTGTTGTGATAAGCAGAGGTTAAAATCAGAATGTGGTAACATCATTGTTTGTACAGATGCATTACTACTTTCTTGATCTACTGTACTGGGTGAATATTTCTCTTTCATCTGCACATCTTTTCTTTCAAATATTTCAATATTTCTTTCTGCAATCCTCCCCCACCTCCAATTCCTTTTCTTCTAGGTGTCACACAGGGTTAAGGAATAGTGGTGGGAGGACTGTGATACAGACAGATATAGGTGGGTGAACTTAACACGAATTCTAAAGCTCTTACATTGGAAAAACCAAGTGGTGTTTTTACAGCACCAGAACATTTCTCTCAAAGCTACTTCTTTTAAGAGTCATTCATTTAAGAGCCTTGAGTGAAAATCCTCTATATGGGAATGTGTTCTGCTCAAACTTTCCATTGTCAAGACAACAAATAGTCATGCTGTAGTTTTGCAACCATGCTCACTTCTAAGTTTAAAGTGGTGAGAATTAATTTTTTTAAAAAAAGTTTCATAGAAATCTACCAGCAGATAAATGTTTTAGAAGCTGTTTTTCATCAGTGTGAATATATTCATGCCAATCAATACCTTATATATAGATTCTAGAAATCTTAAGAGATGGCCTTGAGGAAGCTTTCATTTCATAGGCAAATAGTACACTCCATGACCAAGGACAGTTTGCTAGAAAGTCCCCCTACTTGAAGCATACCCACAACTAGAGGAGAGGAAATAGATAAATGAACATGTGGTCAAATCTAGCATCAAATGAAAAAATAAAATGAATTCTCCATTTTATCAAAATGAACTCAATCATTTAACTGATCAAACATTAATTTAAAGCTAATTCCTCCTAGTACTATCACATCTCTAGATCTGAAGAATAATGGTCTTATTCTCTGTCATTTGTCTGATTTCATTTTAAGAAACCTTTATGAATTAATTAACTAACAAAGTCTGGTAGGAACCAAAGTGGCAGTTAAAGATGTCAAAGATGCGCTCAACTCTTGTTGCTTAGCAATGGAATGAACGGAGCCATTCTCTGCCAAAGAAGCATGAGACAACAGAGGATTCCCAGTCAGAACTGGGCATCTTTATTTGGACCCACAATGCTTCAGTCATGTTTGCAACTTTAGAGAAGTAGAGAACTTTTCAGAGAAGGATTACAAAGAGAAGAGGTGATGGGGTAGTTAGCAATCATGGAAGCATCATTGGGTTCTTTGAGCTGTGTCTTGGTCTTTGTTAGCATCTACCTCTCAGGGTTGTTGTAAGGATAAAATGAAATCACGTTTGTCAAATCATCCAGTCAGTTAATAAACATTTATGAAGCACCATTTATGTGCCAGGTACTATGCTAAGTACTGGGAACACAAATATGAAAAAGAAAGACAATGCCTCCCCTCAAGGAGCTTACAATTCACTGGGGTAGATAACAAACAAAGAAAGTTGAAAAGTGGAAGGGGCTGGGTGAGAGTACCCAACTCAAGGGAATGATAAAAAAAAGTCCAAAGAAGTGCAACTGGATGGGAAATGAAGAGTTGCCTTGCCTGGAGATCCCCCTTAAGTCAAAGTTTGGGTGGGAGTTTTCTACTCCATGCACCATTCAGAAGGATCCCAGGGTGCTGATGAGGTGTGAGTACCAAGCACTTTGTAAACCTCAAAGCACTGTATAAATACTAACTATTATTGTGGTGGAGGTTGTTTCAGGACGTATCTAAAGTCTTCATAGAACAAAGAAACTTTAAGAAAAAATCTACCTCTATCTATGGTCCACCACATGACCTAGCATAGTAAGAACCATGCAAGTTCTAGAAACTTGTAGAAAGCTAGAAAGTTCCCTTACCTGAAGTAACCCCACAACTAGAGGGGAGAAATAAATGAAGATGTTGCCAAATCCAACATCAAATGAAAAAATAAAAATAAATATCCATCATATCAAAATAAATACGATTATTTAATAGGTCAAACATTCATTTAAAGCTTAAACTAAATAAAGTAGTCACAACTCATCTTTTTAACTAACTAGGCCCTACTAAATACTATCTCTTTCGGCCTCTGTTATTAACACATGGAGCACAGTTCTCAATCAGAAATGCAATTTCTATTTTCCCTTGGTTTGCTTTAGTTTAGTTTAGCTGGGATTTGGAGGATATGACTGATGTTTGCAAAAGGCCCGGTATTCACCTAAGTAACAAGGTAAGTCAACTATATTCATGCGTTAGTAGATGGGGCTTCCTAACAGATAAATTGTTGCTCTGTCTTCTGGTGGGTATCTAAGATTTAACTGATTGATCTCTAAGCAGACTATCAAGACCACACCCCCTTCTCTGTGACTAGCAGAGATTACTAGGAGAAAGAAGAATTCAGCCAACAACCAAACTTTCACTGTTAGCCATAATTACCCATCAATGACAGTGATCATAAGATTTGAGGAAATCATATGTAGTACCCCGTTAAGAAAAGATTGAAATCCCCTGGGTTAGG